AATAAGGTCGCGGATAAGCTAGCTGCAACGGCGAGAGGCCAATCCCTTATCGTGATCCTCCACCTGAGATGGTTGACTTAGTTGCTAGGAACGTAGATCCCATATCATAATCTTGTTGTTTCAGTATTATCGAAAAAAGGAATCCATTTCCCTTTTAAATTGATTTGGATACAAAACTAAATATTAAACCGAAAATTTAACAGCAGCATGATCAAGTTTATCTTACAGATATAAATCACTACAATCAAATAGTATGTCTACATACACATCCATGTACGTAACATTTGTGCCATGTACTAAGGTACACGCATGCTAGGCAAATATTTAAAATGCGAAATATAAATAAAATTATTTTATAGCGAATCAACTTATAGAATATGAAATTTTCATTATCTTAATATTAAATACCATTTTATTTAATTTAAATATTCATCCAATTTTAAATTCATTCATATTGAGAATCTAACTATAATAATATACTAAATTTTCTAATTATTAAAAAAAAGTAGATTTTAATTTTGAAGAACTATATAAGAACCGTCTCTGGTTAGAATGAAACACCAAACATGTATTCAGTTTTCCCAGTGTTGCAGAATAACGCCATTGATTTTGGTTCAACTTCCGAATCAAATAAAGCTTTTGATAACAACAAACAAAACTCTTTGATCATTGCAGGATAATTTAAATTTAAAGAACGGTTAAACCATGAAATTCTGAAATTAATATAAAGTATGCTACACTAAGAATAGATGCTAGTTTTCTTCCACGCAGAATACGGACACTTGATTTTAACGTGTAAGAAAATGCAGATGGTGAGATGAAATTCTTGCTGTAAAACTAGATTTGATGCCATATTACCAGTGTCAACGATGACGTTTTATTTAGACACCGAAATTGCATGCCTGCACGAACTCCAAATCATAGTCAACATACTTGGTCCAAAGAGGCTTGAACTGGTTCATGGCAATATCAAGCCATGGCTTCATGTTCCCATTGAAGTGCACTACAGCGGCGTTGCTGATCTCATCCATGCTAATGCTTGGATTGTAGCCCAGTCCAAGTACATGCCAAGACTTGTGTAGGGGTTTCGTTGTCGAGTAAAATGTGATCAAACCGGGAGGCAACGTTCCCAATTTCCACAGGGTCCGGTTCTCGTTCTGCAAAATCCAGGTATACATCAATTATCTGTATCCCAATTTCAACAGGCAGCCATAAAGTACAACGTCATTCAACAACAACCTAAAGAACAACTACTGCAGGCATTTCCACAGTTTCATTCTCATTTCATATGCTTTAAGCTTTGAAACAGGACAATCAAGCTACAAGCTAGAATATGAAAAAAGTTGCATCATCCAACAATGGCATAAATCAATCACCAAAAATAGCACAAGCATGGCATAATAAATCGATCGAACTACCAAAGAGTGGTAAGTAAAGCTTACCAGATTCTGCCAGTAATGATATTCTTCTGTACATTTTTCCCTCCTCCAAGCATCCAAATCAAAGAAATTCATCCCATAAGCCCAAGCACAAGCCTTGGGATTAAACTTCTGCTTAATCAAAGGATGCGAGAAATTCATGTACTGTGCATATCTATGGAAAGACCCAAAGCAAGTCTCCACCGCCCCATTCACTTTCCCATCCATATCGATCTTCCACAACCCTGTCAAATCCTTTTGCACAACAATATCATCATCCAAAAACAAGATCCTATGCAATGTGGGGTACATCTCAGGTAGATAAAACCTCAAGTGATTCAAAATAGACAAATACTTGGGGTTCCTGAACTTCATGTTGGTTGTATCTTTAGTGGCATTCTCAAGCGTGTTCTCAAAATAAAACTTCTGCAAGTTTGCGGATTCTAACTGTCTTAACACTGGGACATAAGATGAATTCAAAAACTTGTAATCCTCAACTGCCTTAACTTCGATATGTGCTCCATTGTAATCTTTCAATTTAAACATAACCTGCATTGCTCCAAGATTCATCTTATCGGTCACCACATGGAAAACATGTTTCCATGGCTCTTTCGCATTCTTCGTGGCTGAATTCACCACCACCGATGCTGCAAGTACATTATCAGAAAAAATGGCATAATGATATAGCTTAGGGTCCTCAAATTCAGGAGGAATAGGCTTCCCTTCATCTGCATATTTCTCTGGATGAGAGATCCGTTCCTCCATCAATATCATCGCCAAACAATGTAAGCTTTTAGGAATTGATTTGGCAGCAATGAGGCTGGAAAATGCGCCCTGCTTTTTCGCTTTTGTCAGCTGCTCGTTGACAGCAAATATCGTATCTTTCAATTTCTGGATCTTGAGTTGGTTATCAAAAGATTCCTTTGCTTCCGAGATCATTTGGCGGGTGGCTTTAATCCTCTCTTTGACTTCTTTCTCAAATTGTCGTAGCACCGACTCATCAATGGAGAGTGAATCGGCCTCGAAAAGAGCCCGATAAGATGGTTTGTTAATGAGATCCGAGTAGTTTCGTGATAGATCGGCGAAAACCCTAACGAGCTTTGAGTTTTCAAGCTTTAATTTACGAGCGTAAGAGGCGTAGGCAAGGACAAGGGAGCGATGGTCGTCGGCTTGCTTCTGGATCTGATCCAGTCGGGGCTTGAGCGGATCCGATTTAAGCGCCAAAACGGACCTCCTCGTGGATCCAATTCCAAAGGAACCAGTGGGGAAACCCTGGAAACACAAAGGAAACGACACCGTTCCATCAGTCATCCTGACAATTTTCATATCTCTTATACTTTCCTTCTTTAATTAATGCTTTAACGAACAAAATGAGCCGAAGGAGAGTTGAGTTAATTTTCAGTTAAAAATAAGGAGAAAGTTAGTTAGAACTTACAAAGTTGGTTTGAAGATGAGGAGAGTGAGAGTGGGAAGTGAAGAAGAAAGATAGAACAAAGAAGAAACAGACTGCAACCGCAATTGCAGAAGCCAATAATCTAAGTGTAGATCCAAAACCTCCGAACAGTGGCCCTCCGCGGCCGTCGCTTCTTGCTGTACGGGGATTTGCCATCTTTCCGATCAATCACCGGCGCATCAAACAATCAAGAAAAAAGGAAATGGAAAGAAGCTGGCCAAAACAAAACCGCACTCTCTTCACTCACTGATGTTTGTTTGTGTTGGTTTTGGGCTCTAAGTTTGGGATCTTACACTTTCCGCTGATACAGAGATTATGATAAGAGTATGGGTTTCGAGATATCAACGGCTGTGATTTCGTTTTAGTCGGTGATGAGCTAAGGCTAGCTTCGTGCTACTTGGAATTTGCCGGCAACCAGGATCCTGTGTGAACGCTCTCATTTTGTTTTTATATAATCGTGGCCTTGCAAATGGAATTAAATAAACAAATATTTTATTTCTTTATAAAAGGATAATAACATTATTCAAGAATTTGACTTTAAATCTACTAAAATTTATTAAGTGACTTTTATTATAGAAGTAAATATAATTTTAAAAATGATTTGAATTTGATTAATTGTATTTGTAAAGTGTATGCATTATCAATAAGTTAAAAAAAATTAACATATATTATCTTATAATCACATCATATTAATAAAAAAATTAAATTCAATAATCATGTATTTATTTTAATTGAAAAATATTATTTAATATGTGATAAATTTAAGACCCACAAATATATTTATTTAAATGATGTTTAATATATTTAGAATGGATAAAAAAATTAAAACGAAACTTAAAGTTAAAATCTATAACCCTAAATCTTAAATAAAATAAAAGATATTAATAAATTATATCTGATACAATATGTTTCATTATTAATATAAAATACTAATCCTTAGATTAGTTATACCATTAATTCAATAAAAAGATTTTATAATAAGGAAGATAACATGAAGTAGATTTGATTAGGATAGTTGTGAATGAGCGTAATTAACGGAAAGAGTTGGAAATCTTAGAGACAAAGAAACTCTCATAAATGACAAATCCAACGTCTTCCAAACATTTGGACATATATGTTTTGTAACTCAAGTGGATTATAAATAAAGGAAACCACACCAATTTGCTATTCAACTCCCTGAACCAACCAAACTAAGTTATTTACACTGGATATAATAAATCATTTGATAGCAAAATCATTTGGAAAAAATCAAATCTTTTAACTCGATTCGACATTAAAAAATTCTATTTGATTTAACTCGATCTTAATTTTATAAACTCGACTTACATCGAAAAAATTTCAAATAAAGTTTGATTAATAAAATAAGATTGAAATAACTTGGATAACTCAATTTTTTTTTATTATTTAGAGGATTAAATTTCAAGTTTGAATCAAATCTATCAAATACACATTATATATCTATATCGTATAAGAAAAAATATGAAAAAAATATATTTATATCATATATGGTTATAGTTGGGTGTTTAAATTGGAATCAATTAATAGTATAATATGATAAATATTTATAATTGAATTTAAATATAAACTTGAACAACTCGACTCGACTTGAATTTCATAAACTTGATTCGAATTTTTGAGTTATAAACTCATCAAATTTACTAACTCAAAAATTTTTAACCCGACTTAATTCGTTTCAATCGAATACTCAACTTTAATTATGTCAAAGTGAAGCATGGTGTTTTAGGTGGTGGACTATCAACTGAAGAAACAAATGGGTGCATTTTGGCACACATGACATTATGAATGGTGATTGGACTAAGGCCCATGAGAACTGCCTTTAAAAATCTGAAGGGAAAGTGTATATTAATTGAACTTCACAAAATGTCAAATTACTCAACTAAATTTTTTTATTTTTTGAACTTCATAAATTGAATTTAAAATTAATTTGATTTGAATAACTTAAAATTAATTTTTTTTAATAAAATCAATTTTACACCCTGAGTAAGAGGAGGAAGTATGTAATTTTTCATGTGAATTCAAAAAGCATATATATTTACTTGTGATTTTGGAAAGAGTACATGTCATCAAACATAAAATATTAAAAGAAATAAAAAGTAAAATGTAAGAATTCAGTGGTAGCCTTTCTTAGCATGCTTAACATGGTGCAACCACCCAAACCCTTTGAGGGCTTTGGAGATCTTAACGAAGTGGGGCCTCATTCCAAAATTCATCTTCCCAGTCGACAACTTGAGAGCCTGTAAACAGCACAAGTGACCATCCAACTCTTCCTCGTAGTCGTAGTCCTCGTCGTCTTCGTCTTCGATGCCATTGCCACCCTTCTTTCCTTTCTTCAGCTTCGACTTAGTAGAATCACTGCTTTCATATGTTTCCCATAGTAAATCCATCCCTTCAACAACACCATCCGCCACTGCAGCCGTCGCGTTGTATCTCTCCTCGAAAAGCTTGCATGCCAATGTCCTTTTCCACTCCTTTTCTTTCCTCATTGATCCCAAATTCCCATAAGTTAATCCTGTTGTTTCCTTGTTAATGTCATTATCGACATCGGCAGCAGCCTTCACTCGTTGGGAACTCACCGTTGCCTTTGATTCCTCATCTTTTTCTCCCTTTTCAGACGATAAATTTTCGAACCCATCTTTTTCTTGCAAAAACTCTTCAAAGGTCTTCACTACAGCATTTACCTGAACAGTTACCGGACGTGAAATCTCCGCCGATTCTTCGTCGAAATAACTACTCGTCAATGTTTCAGGGTGGTGAACCAAAGCTTCTTCAACAGCTTGTAAGCAATCAACAGTGGCTTCTTCCATATCCAAACCGATGGTTGACGTTTCAAACATGATCTTGTACGCTTCAAGCTCTTCCAAGCATGGTAAGCCATCACCTCCATCGTCGAACACTTCGGACCTTAATACTGTGAAAAACGCAAGAACCGAAAGGGAAGTGGTGGCAAAGAGTGGTGAAAGAAAAGAGAAAACCTTGAAAAGATAAGGAGAGAAGAAGATGAAATAAGAGAAGTAGAGAGGATTATAAACAATGTAAGAGCAGAAGAGCATAAAGTTAGAAAGCAAAAGGCTTGAAAACTGGGTTTTATTCTTCACAACAGTGGTTGAAGCTAAAGGAAACACATACATTTTTTTTATGAAAATTAGATAGCAAAAGAACACACACACAAAGAATTCTGGGTTTGTTTTGTTTGATCTGGTTAAGCAAGTGGCAAAAGGAAAAAAAAACAAGTGAATGAAACCGGGGGGGTGAGAGTGGCGTGAATAAAGGGAAGAGAGAGAGAGATTTTAAGTATGATTGAGAAGAAACAAAAGCTACTTCGGAAACTTTTTTCATGTCTATAATCACCAACCATCTTGATTTTTTTCTCATGTCTAATCGGCTATAATTTCGTGTATATAATTGCCAAGGAATTTACATCTGCCATGAAGATCAACATTAAGCAAAACTAGTATCCTACTCAATTTCTTAAAAGAGATTCTCATTCCATTCAAATTATTAGAATTTGACAATTCAATTTAAATTTTACAATTCTTAGACTTAATTTGATTGAAATTTTGAAACTATCTTAGACTTAGTTCGATTGAAATTTGAACTCGATTCAAAATCGAACTCCAACCTAATCGGTAAGTAAATGAAATTTGAAAAAAAAATTGAACTCGTGAATTTTTCAAACTAAATATCAAATAATTCATTTCAATTCGTTAAGAACTCGAGTTGAGTTCAAACTCAATTCGAGTCGATTTAATTCAAGTGCCGACTAAACTTTGATCAAACCAAACTCGAATAGCTCATGATTTGTAGTGTTCCATTTACAATCATATTTGTGTGATGTGATTAGTAAATAATTTACGTATCACATAGTAGTTTTAGGTTGAACACTAGGAGGGTGTTTCACAATATGAGAATTAGACAAATCACTTGGGTTTAAGTTGAAGTATAAATTATATATATCCTTTAACATCTTCGAGATATATACTAAAAATTACAGAACAAATATAGGTATATATTTGATTGATGGAGGAGCTTGGAGTAGATGCACATGCGAAGGCAATAATGGGCACTCAAGTGGTTCCACCGTAGTAATGGACATTCTAATGTAAATACAATTCTTTTTCCCTTTGACTACGAAAATCTTTCATTGTTTATTACTCGATAAAACATTGTGTCCAATCTTTGGCGAAAAAGCTAAAGTGAAAAAAGGATGGTAGCTTCTGACAAGAGAAAAGAAATTTCTTTTTTCATCTTGTCGGAGTGGAAAGATACTAAGGGATACGATGAGCTTTTTGACAAACACGGTCCCTCATAGGTATACTATATATCTATCTACACATACATTTGAGGCGATCAGCTCAAACAATAATTTATGTCTAACATTATGATAATCATCTCCGAAAATAACCGATAATAATCAATTTTCAGCAACGCGTTGGATTCCCCAATATGAAACCATTAACCAAAGATACATATAGAAATATGTAGGAAGATTAAGATCTCCGACTGTACTACCAAAAAGCCAAGTTGGTCAATAAAACTCATGATGGCTTCGTACGTTATGATGAGAGCAATTGGGACCCAATGACCAACTGTCAATATGTCCTCCACGAAGAGAATGGTTATCATTTAGCATTAGAATGTGTTTGGTAGGGAAATGTGAAATTTTCATGGTAATAAAATCTTCATTCTTTCATTTAATTGGTTGGGAATGTCATTATCGATAATCTTATATTATTAATAGTAAATTTTTTGGGATATATCATCGCGAATGTCATTATCTTCTTTTCTCTAGGTATTGTTGGATTACCGACATTTTTGACTAAAATGCCCTTAATTTTTTTTTCTTTCAAAAATATTCTTATTCTATCATTGAATAATAAAAATTCTACGGAGGTTAAATTATAAATTTATCCTTAAACTATTTTAGATTTACAAAAAAAAATCTATAATTAAAATTTTATATGAAGTTTAAGGATTAAAATAAAATTTTACCATTTCATTAAACCTTTTTATATTTTTAATTTTGTAAAAAAATATATAAATTTTATGAATTTAATTTTTTTAAAGAAAAAATTTATATATTTTCCAACTTGTTAAAAAACAAATATATAATAAGGATAATTTGGTCAAATATATATTCTAATAATCTTTTATTTCTTTAACTAAACACGGTAATCTTATATTCCTGCTAAACCAACCAAACACAAAATACAACATTCTCAGTAATCCTATTCCCTTGTAATCTTTTATTCCCACTGGTAATCTTACATTCCGTGAACCAAACGCACCCTTAGAATTTTTGCCCGGGAAAAAGTTTATTAATTATGCAAGTAATACAATTACGAAGGATCAAAAGCTAAGATTATAGTATTAACTAATTGCATTGTAGTACTAGCATAACAAAAAAAGTTCTCAAGGATATTCAATCCATAAAATATCCATACTAGCCATGTAGATAATTAGTTTAGAGTTGGAAGTAATGATCATATCATCCATTAAACTAACCTCATCAGCTTACAGAGCATCATTGTTTTTGTTTGGAATAGAGTCCAAGCTACTGCAAAGACTGTATCCAGATCAGATATCGGCCCCTGCACAGCTGAGCTCAAACTTAGTTTGTTATGCTGTAATAATCTGAAACAGGAAGCATTTTGCATTAAATCCATGGACAAGTGTGCAACACACTTCATGAGGGTTATCATCTCAAGACATGTGTAGAACCATTGTCAATCCTAAAGCCAGAATTTCTAGACATTCAACTGAAATTAAAAAAAATTAAAAACATTAGAAGCTTGAAAACAGGTCTTTCCACTCAAGCAAACAAAAAGAACCATTAATTATGGTATTTTGAAAGATCCACAACAAACTAGAGTTTTCATAGCAAGTATTTAGAACATCCAATACCCTCTTGGCTCCCACATTCTATAGCATACTAAATCCTAAATCAAAAGCACCTACTACTCTGTCATGATTGGCTTATTCTCATTTGCTTTGGGTTTTTGTTCCTTTGGCTTCTGCTCCTCCATTTTCCTGAAAGATCAATCAACAGTTACATCAACATGTCAAAAGTATGTCATCATCACAAAAACTTCTCTTACGATAAGATTGCAGCAGGTCAAGGTAAAACCCAAGGTAGCAGGTTGTAAAAGATCCATAAGAAAGCCTTGATATAATCATTGGACAAATACATGGAAGAGGAAATAAGAAATTAAAAATGTGTAGCAAACCAAAACTACCAAAACAAAAACAGAACATTCCTCTAAATTGTGAACACAGCCACACAAAGGAAACTAGTCACTCTTGCCAGAAAAGATGCTTCAGTGCGTGTTCATAGAAATAGAGACAGAGTAGCAATAAAAGCATCCTAAGTTGGATAAGACAAAATAATGACTACAAGTTAAGGATCCTACTATTATGAAATTAGAAGCACCCGTTTCAGCAGTGGCCGAATCACGTCGGAACCAAAGGGGCAAGAATTGATAAAGGTATATACCTAGTATCATGTGGCTTTTTTAGATATATCTCCCAAAATAAAGTGAAGGCGTCCAAAGCTCCAATTTTTATCTGTAACTTTCTAACTCGCTGAATCTTTAAAAATGTATTAAAAGTTCTCTAAGTTTAACATTTAAGCTACTTTCAATCTTTAGAAACGAAAACTATATATACAAAATAATTTCTTAATTCAATATATGTTTAAAGACTGGGGGGTTTTCTTTCCTTACAAAAATGATTTACTCATAACTGTATTATAATATGTTTATATAAATGATCGTGCACTCGCATATGTATTTGGTCCTAGTCCTATATAGAAATCCTAGCTCAACCATTGAGTTCCATTAAGCATGATTCTATTAAGCGTTTAAAACAACTAGCTAACCGTTGTGTAAATTGAACCATATATTTCAACAAATTAGAAACAATACATCTTATCATAAACTTCAGATTTGTGTTGTTCACAATCATAAAATCAACAAACACATCATCGTTTGATACTTTGTTCCAGTGCCCAACGAATATAATCGTTCACGCTAATCACATCGAAAGATAACAAGAGAGGGATAGAGAGAGAACCTCTTGTCGGATGAGCCACCCTTCTGGCTGAGGAATGAGCGGAAGAGAGGAGAATTGACGTCGTAAATTATTTTTTTCAAAGGAAACCCTAGCTAGCTTACCTTCACGCAGTACTCTCGCAACTTCTATAACTTAGCTTGGTGAGGATTTGTTTATTAAGAAACTGAACCGCCATGATATCGACACCTTCCAGTATTTGTGGGTTCTTTTGTCAGGCCTCGTCCATAAATCTGTTATGATTCGGTCGTTTTGGTCTTCTCAGTGGATGATTGACCTGGCCCTTTATCTAATACATTTTCGGGATCCGACCCATTAACAGTCTGCAAGTTTCCTAGTCCACGGTTTGTCCCTAGTTCTACTAGTTTGTAAATGGCCGATTTAAAACACATATTGTTGGTCAATTTATTCATCAAACATCTCTGGAAATAAACTCTCACCAATCTGCATTGTTGAACCCAGAAAAAGTTTCCCAACTGAAACAATGGCATCCCCCAACAATCGAGGAGAGTCGCCATCATCAACCTCCGAGGACTGGCGACGTCGAATATTGATCCCTACGATCCTTGCAGGTACTTTGCCTTTTTCCCTCATCCTCTGTTAGAGTTGTTTTTTTCACTGAAACATCCAGGAATCATGAATGTTTGCGCGGTTCTCTTTGTTTGAAACAAGGGTTGCTGGTGGAGGATTTGGGTTGGTTTCAAAGCATCCAAAAGTCCATGGCCTGGCTAATATTTCAGCCACTTATGCCATTAATTTTGCTATTGTCACCGGCTGCTATTGTGGTATTTATTTTAATTCGCTTTCTCTTCATCACTGTTAGTTTCAAGCCATTAGCTTTTTTTGAAGTATTTAATTGCATCAAATCAGTATTTTACTAAAGCCAAAATCTTTGTAGTTTCCGATTGTAGATTTGTACAGAAAATGTAAAATTGTACCGTAAATTCAACCATGATTTGAATAGAAGAGAAACCATAAGTCTCATCATCCATAACTGCCACACATCTTCAGTATTTAGTTATTCCAAAGTATTTACTCTATTTTGCACCTAACAGCTTTAAGAGCAATCAAAAAGGGTCTTACTAGAATTCTTGCTATTAGTTTTTATGCTATTGGTTGTGAAAGCGGTTCATTTTTTTGAGTGGCTTCATTTGTACTTATATCACGGGAAAGTTCGCTTTGATCTTTCAAAATAAAGTGTGCAATATATATCCATGACATTGTTATTAATGGGAGTGACATTGGTGGAAAAATTAAAGTAACTTGGGGGATTGGCTTTCTTGACATAGATAACTAGGTGGTTGTTTGGCACCATGGAGTGGTGTAGTGGGGAGGAACCAAACAAGGTTTGAGTATCATCTTTAGGATTTTAGACCTGGGAAGTTAGATTTGATGCCTTAATGTAATTAATATTAGAGAGTTTGTATGTTCTCATCTTGTTAGAGTCATAAGAATCAAGTTATCATTCTCTTCTCATAACATAACTCAGTATCTTATCTAGGCACATTGAATTCATTTCTCATGTTCATGTGGGAGTTAGCATAATAGTGTTGAATGCAAACTCCTTTCAAGATAAAGCTCGTAGTGGATACTAAAAACTACCCTCTTTCCCCCATCTTGATTTGAAGTAGTTTTATTGGATAAAAATATGATACTCTAAAGGTTAATGCAACTTTGACTTGTATGAAAATTATAGGTTTGGTATTAGCAAGTCAACCTAGGTGGATGATTTTAGTCAATGCGTTACGGTCCTAGGATACAGGTAGAGTCAGTCGACGATTAATGTGAACGTCAGAAGCGACTGCCTTCCTTTATGTCGATAGGAGTCTTATTTTAATTGGCTTAGTCAAGTCTTTTATTCTAATAAGTTATGTAACCTTTATTTAAAGTTAGCATATTGGTCTCTCTTTCAACGAGTACTGAGTTTGTAGTCTCTCAACAAGTTTAGTTGTCAATTACCCTAGGTCGTTCAAGGAATAGTAATAAAGGGAAGGCAATCGCTTCTAACGTTCCCATTAATTGTCTAGTGAGTCAATCTGTATCTCGGGACCGTAACATGATGGTACTCCTAAAAGAAATTTTAGGCAATGTGTAATCGCATAGGGAAATGCATTAAACTTGTAACAGGCCTCAAATAATCTAATTATAAATTAAGACACTGCTTCGTTGAACCTTTTCCTTCTCCTTAATATGGCCTTTCACATCTTCCTTGTGAGAGAGCACATGTCTTCTGCTGTTTTTGAGCCTCGCTGTTGCTGACTTGGTTTTCTTCTCAAGAAATCAAACTTAGTAGGAAATATAAACTTTTTCAACTAGACAGATTCTATAGTTGATGATTTGGTAATTGGTATCATTGTCACCACATTTCATGCAAACTGTTCAATTGGATATTGCAATAACACCTGTAATTTGACAGGAGCTCGTGAATTCGTAACAGCAACTCGTAAAACAGGACCCCGTGATCTACTGAATACTGCAATTGCTGGATTCGGCACTGGTGCTATATTGGGTCGTCTTCAAGGTAAATTTTATCAGTCCCTCTGTCTACATATTGTGTTTGTGTGTGTGTGTGTATATATATATAATATCCTTGTGATTGTGTGATTCTGCTAGTGTAGCTGAGTTCTGCATGCAACCCTGTTGTTTTAAGCAGTTAAAGTGCAAAATTTGCTTGATTGTCACACTTTATATGACATCTCTTTTAAAAGTCTTCTTCTGTGACATTTTAGGTGGTCAATTTGGTGCTTATCGCTGTTCACTCATCTTTGCTGTTGTTGGGACAGCAGCGGATTTTACTGCTCTAAAGTTAAGACCCAAATTACGCCACATCAGTGAATCTATGTTTGATAAGAGCGGTTCGTTGAAATTGCCAGAATGGTCTCCTATGCAAGTGCTCGATGATGAAGCCCTTGCTGCAAAACAAGCACGAGAAGAGAAACTGTACAGACAAAGAAAAACTCTTAAGCAAAGAAGAATGATGACTTCATGAGGGTGAACTATTTAGTTTTTTGTTCTTAATCATCAATGATAATGATTTTCGCCAGTGCTAGTTCAGCTTGTATTTGCTGGGGATTAAGTTTTGTTTTGCTTTCAAAATATTCTAATAATATTCTTTGTTACATCGGCTGTAATTTGGGATTCTAAATACCCTTAGATGGTTAAAAAAGAAAAAAGTTCTTCATTTCTACGATCTTTGAGATATCTGAAAATTTCTAACATTCTCTCGACTCTTGAGCATCTCTAGGTATTTCTTATTACTGGAGGGTATTCTCCCCCGATGTTGAAAGTCAACAGTTGCTATAGATGGCTTTAATTCATCATATTCGTCGTGGTCTTTTCCTATATTTCTCAATCGAATTTGACGATGACATCACCGAGCCTATGCAGGGCAAGCCAAAGCCTTCATTGTCAGCTGCCTAGCATTGTTGTGTGTTTCCTTCTTGAAGGTAAGCTACATTTTTATCAGCAAAAGTTGAATCTCAGAACTCGCCCTGTTCTTTGTTGGTGATATATTGATTTTGAATCCAATTTGAGCTATTAATTGTTTCTGGCACTGCTAAGAACTCATCAAGCGATAATCTGTTATATATTCCATCATTATATAGCAGTTCCTGAAACAGAGACAAAAACTGATTAGTTTGCATCTTTTTAACTTTCTGCATCAATAAATGATTAAGAGAGAGATTTTACTGGTGGAATTAAATCCTCTTTAGCAAGATATTAGAAAGCACTTCAAAACCCGTGGCTGCAATGACTATATTATGTCTATTGCTTCTCTCGTTAGAAGGCATTTCAAAGCCCTCGTATGCAGCTATATTATGTTGATTGCTTCTTTCTTTTATATTGTGTTGATTGTTTCTTTCTTTACTGACAGTTTCATCGTAGTTAGTAAGGTTTGAATTGCAGGTCTCAACGTCTTGTTCAATGGTGCTATATGGATCTCGAACCCTATTATCGTCTTTGGGTCCATTTTGATCTCTTGACACCCCTTGAAGGTGTAAAGGTGCTTGAATCAGAGAAATAAGAGTTAGTTTTAGATGGTCATAATATCTTCCTCATCATCATCCACATTTATAACTGATTAAGAAATTTTTCATCAGGCTTTCGGAATTGCATACTCTGCAACATGTATTGAGATTAGATGATACATTAGAGCTTTCATCTTCATTGACCATGTTATGTTGATTGCTTCTTCCTCCACCATACATCTCAATGTGCTGCAGTGGTTATGAACATTGAACACCACCATGGTCGTTAGATGCTTCCGGTTTACTTGACCCATTAGGGTCTAGAATGTACTGGCCATAGATAAAGAAATATTAGCTATGAATATCCACAGACAAGTGAATGAAGAGGAAAAAACATAAAGAATCTAAGCTCTAACCTCTGATATTGCATTGTTTGCTACATGATTTTCCAAATTAGAAGTGCTGATTTGATTGACCTACTTAACTACTGAAAATATCAAATTTTTTTCTTCAGTTTTCAAAGTTTGAAAGGCTTTCTACACAAATTAAAGGACAAAAAAATATATTTATTGGTGCAGTTAAAACTCTTGAATGAACATATAGAGGGAGAGGGTTGTAGAAGCCGTTGACACATTGACCCATAAACGCAGTGAAAACTAATGAATGAAAATGTATATAGAGAGGGATACTAGAATCTTTTTTTTTAAAAAAAGTTTGAAAACTAAAGACAACTAAACCAAATGAAAAACGAATATACCTATTAGATCATTCGTTAATTAAATTATTATACAAAACCAGTGATGCATAAAACTAGGTTGGTTCCACCAAGTTCGTTCACTCTCACTTCCTAATTATGCAGCTAAGATAGTGAATCGGTTGATTTTTTTTTTTTTTTGGTATATTTATCAGAGCAAAGCTAGACAAGATATGTAAAGCCAAAAACTCCATTTGACAAGTCCAAATGCCCACAGATCTTCAACCTCCAATATTCACAGAGGATAGACCGCAGCCGCACAAACAAAAGGCCTTAACCATTGACACCCCAAAAGAGTGTGGAGGCGACTGATTCAACTAGGCAATACATGTTCATAACTAATGGCATCAAAATTCGAACATAACAATTCCTAAGCTGGACATTATAAGATCATTGCCTGCAAGATATTCAACTCTGGTTAGTGAATCGTTTTCAATCTCAACCCATGGCGCCTCCATCATTTGTGACACCTTAAATTGCCCAACATTTGGCAGCCAAGACCTAATCATTCTAGTTTCGTAACACTTTCTCCAATGAATCACTCTATAGGCAGATTTTACGTCTAAGGAACTATTTGACTCAAGAGACTAAAAGCAGCTATTTTCTGTTCTAACAATAGGCAACCAAACCTTGTATGAGGACCACGAGAACTCTATCCTCCATCCATGTGCGGATAGCCCAGTCAATTAACTAATCAACACTAACATCATCCGAGACCACAGCCGGTAAAGGCCTCACTTTTGAAATTTCTTCTCTGCCCATTTATCATTACAAAATTTTACCTTAGAGCTTTCACCTATGATTTTCCCTTGTAAAAATATGCACAAATATGTTTAGTTTGGATTTGGAGAATGCTTAAAATTAGGTTAGTGACTACAAAACTGGATTAGCATATCCCAACAAGGATCCCATATGCAGGGTAACCTACTAAAGAACTGTTGGTATCATTCACTTAACTCTTCATTAAAAAAAGATATTAGTTTCAAAAGGGTAAAATTTCTAACGAGCATTGTTTAATTGCCAGTATATAATGTCAGGGATTCATTTCAAAAGAAAAAAAAGGAATGACAGAAAAAACTCTCAATTCTGCCATTCAGCTACCGAGCTACATTTACACAACAAGACAGTTAAGAGCTCAAAGTGGGCGGTTCTCAAGAAAAGAAACATTAACATCATTTTCTACACCCTACAACTTCTTTGACTTTAAGATGACCATTACCCTATGAAAGCAAAGACACAAGGGATACAAACTCCAGGGTTATCCGGCCCTTGGATCTCGTGTTGATGACAAAGTGTTCTGGGTATTTTCTTAACAACATAAGCAGACCATACCATGGTTTCCCCTTCGATTCTGGACGCGGCCAGTCTTCGGATGTAAGATACCTTCTAACTCGGCTGTGATGCCAGATACTACTAAACTGTTCAACCAACTGAAGAAGAAAGATGAAATTTCAGGACATGATCAAAATCTTATAAAACACTCAAACTCAATCAAAATAAAGCATGAGGAGGACTAGTCTCATGTGGGCAGGGGTGCCATCATAAGAAAATAATTAAGACTCAAACATGCTATGTCAAGAGCTCAAAATGAAAATAGCTTGGGATTTAGGTCACTGTAAACTTGGAACTAACCTCAGCATGGAGTTTCTCCATGGCCATCCATTCTCCTGGACCACAAAGATCAGAAAGCACAGTCGCTACAGATGACACCACATTCTTTTCTTCCAACTGCATAAGTTGTTGATTATCGGATTCACGATCAACTCTTGATCTTCCCTCTCCCTTCTTCTCTGCCGGAACTGTGGATGTTACAATGCCAAATTAAATAAAATTTACAATCCGTGAAGTATATAAGAAAGATGTGCTTTTTCGTTGCTAAGTAGGTAAAATATAAAGAGAAAATGTTGAAGGAATGAATGTTCAAGTCAGCAGCATAAAAACTTGTAAGTGAGAAAGAGTATCAGAGAACAATAAAACTGTCCAATGAGATCATACAAATTATATCACGGCCATAAAAATCAAAAGGAACTTTTTGAAATAATAGAGAGAGCAATGCATCACAAATTGTCATAAATTATATGCCAAAAACCCCTTAGACAACATGATAACTATAAAATATACTTCATCTATCATTCATCGCCTCTCTTTCTTATGGAGGTATGAGGTATCATCATTACTTTCATTAAAAGCTTGAAGGTGACTACATTCAATGTTCCACAGCACAGATTATGCAATTTCAAGGAGTATCTTTAACAACCACCCAGGAATGAAATTTCTCAGAACTGTTATAAGCTATGTTGTTGGGCTCTTCATTTTTCCTAAAGTATCTATGTCATACACATGGAAATGGGGATATCACCTCTACGAATCTTCTAAATACAGGAAAACATTAGAAAAGTCTTAACCATGCCCATGTGGGAAATATACCCATATCCGAAACTCACACCTGAGACCGAGTAACATAGGTGATAAACCAATCGATAGGGCAAATTCTCAAAAAGTGGATCAAAATTCACTAGACATCTAGAAACAGAAAAATAAGTACCGGCAGGTCCCGTAAAATTCAAGGCTAGGCTGATCCTATAACAAGAAGCAACTCCCAACCAATAAAAAAGTACAAATGAGAATACGATATCAACTGCAAATGGATCAGTAGAGATTGAAATCCTAGGGGCATTTAAAATGATTTATGAAACAAAATGGAACACCCCGAAAAGATGATGACAGATTAAACCATTAAACTGAAGATGGTTATGCTAAGCAAATGAAAAACCAGAGGCAAAGCATTTTGAGTGCTACAACCACAAGAAATCATCAATGCCAGCAACTATAATTCCAAAAAATAAAAAAAAACAAGAATGACATAGGATAAAATGCACTCAGAGGCAAGCGATAGCATAGCTCAAACATAGACATTCTTGAAAACTAAGATTTGTCATTTTTCTTAACTAAAATGACAAATTTTTTGGCTATCTAACATATGTCATGATATAACTGCATACAAGAATGGATTATAATCCCCAAAACAGCAAGAGATATCCAATTCACAGTATATATCAATAACTAAATGCTTAAATTTCATAAACTTTCCAAAGCAGTTTATAAATAACGGCCATTTTTCTTCCTACATTTCCATGATCATAAGTTCATAACGACTGAAAACAAAAGAAGACAAATTTGATCAAATAATCACATAATGATAAATCTTTAAGGAAAACCAAAAACTAATTTTGCTAACCTAATGCTCCCGCCAATCCTGCCTTTCCTACGGAGCCGGCCTCCACCCCACTATACCACTCTTCCCTCCTAACCTTCTTCCCGCCACTCCCAACATCCTCTTCTTCACCATAATCTTCATAATACTCTCTTCCCCTCGCTTTCTTCACCCCCTCAGAACCCACTGATCTCCCTGTCTCTGTCCCGCCATGGTAACCATGATGCTGCATCCCTCCAGCTGTGGCAGCCGCCGCCTGGTAAATTGACACGTGGTGCCGAGGCGCAAGGACTCCCCCGAGAATACTCCTCACGGGGAGAAGAAAGTAAAATTCTTTGTCACCGATTTGGAGGAGATCCTGGGAATCGAGCTTTACGGGAGGGTTCCCGGGGAGGTGGAGGACGCCTTCGACGAGGCAGCCGTTCTTTCCGAGGACTTCAAGAGCAAAACGGCGTCGCGTGAAGTCGTAGAAGATGCGGGCATGGTGGCGGGAAATGTTCATGCCGCCGCCGAGGCTGACCAAGTCGACGTCGACGGTGGATTTCTTGGAGTTGCGGCCGAGCATTATGGAGTAGGTTTGCATGTAGTATTCGAAGTCTTCGCCTTGTAGCTTCGCGAACCCCGCTTCCACGTCGCTCCCACCTGTCGTTCCCATCGCCGATTTTGATTTTCGATTGAATTATTGACTGATCGAATGGGCGATGGATATTGTTGAATTAATGAAAAAGGCTGTCGGAATCTGGAAGAAGGTTTTCTTAGGATTTACTTGAAATTTTCCTTTTTCTTCGTCTGATCTTCCATGGCTACGAGGGGTATTGTTGATTCCAAAGAAAACTTTATTGCTGTTCGATTTTGGTTTTAATTTTCATATTTCAACTTAAAAAAATAAAAGAAATTTAATTATAAATGCAACTCCACATGAAGAAGTTAGAAATGTTATTAGAAAAATTAAAAATAATAAGAGTGTATAATCAAAAAATAATTTATATAGAGAGTGTGATCACTCGTGAAATTTTTCAATTCCATGAAGGTTCATATAATAATTATGGTTTAATTGTAAAAAATATTTGCACGAATTAATTTAACTTTGTGATTAAGAAAATTGTTATTATTTCTAGAAGTCACCAGTACGGATGTCTGAAAGTTCATTGTTAAATGATTAAGAATATTTAAAACGAATACTACTTAGAATAATTATGATTTAATTGTAAAAAATATTTAAATTTTATTTTTTCAATAAATATTTAATATTTTATTTTAGGATTTATTAAAATGAAAGTATTCAAATTATACTTTTATTTATTTTAAGTGTTTAATATTTTTTATTAAATTAAGTATTTAACGTTTTTAAAATTAATATTTTAAAATTAATTTTCTCATTATTATTATTATAAAGTTGATTAAATGTTAATCAATCAATTAATATTTGATATATAATCTAAATTTAAACTTTTTTACTTTTACTCTTACTTTTAAAATAAATTTTTAAAAATATTAAAAATCTTAAAATTTTATATTTTCATAAAAATACTGTAAAAATTATAAAATATATTATTTATTTATTTTTAAATATTTTAGGGACTGCATCGACAAAAACAAAAAAAAGTGATCAATATTAACGGTTGGTAATAGACAGGTGTGCTTTCAACAACAACGGTGATGATCGACAATGCAATGATAATAGATTTTAGGATTAGATTTTGAATATTACCAATAATTTAGAAAGATTTAGGAATTAAGTTTACAAATTTAGAGGATTGAGGTGATGACAAGAGGAATGATAGTCAATGGAGGTGTAGGTGGGAGTTTGACAACTATGATAATGGTTGACAATGATAATAGACTTTGAGATTAAGGATTTAGAATTTAATGAGATTTAGGAATTTATATTTAACGCTGAAATCTATTAGAATTAGGGGAATTGGGATCCAATTCAACCAATTTATCATGTTTGGTTTAAGTTTTCAAAGGGATAATTGGAATCCAATTCCATTAAGGGAGGGAAAGTAAATTTCATCTATAACACGATGGAATTTAAATCTTTTGGAGGAGGAAATATGAAATTTGATCATACTACCCTCATTAATCTTTTGGTATTCGGGTCGGTTTTTTTTTAAAATTTTTGGGATCGGGTTGGCTTTTTTAAGCTTGATATTCGGGGTCGGGTTGGGCTTTTTTTTTTACAAAATCGGGTTCGGGTCAGGTTTTTTAAGTTTGATATTCGGGTCGTGTCAAGTCCGTTTTTTTAAGTGTGATATTCTGGTCGGGTTTTTTTAAGTGTGCTATTTGGGTCGGGTTCGGGTTTAGGGTGAAAAATATCCGACCCGACCCGAAAAAAAATATATAATTTTACCTTATATATTTAGGAATAATTACAATAATACACCTCTATATATATTTTTTCAATTAAGTCACTGTTTTTATTGAATAAAAATAATTTTATTATTATTTCGGGTCGGGTATGGTCGGGTTTCTAATTCATATATTCGGGTCGGATCGGGTGAAACTTTATTTTGGTCGGGTCGGGTCTCGGGTGGAGGTTCCCTTGTTCTTGGGTCGAGTTGGGTGGACCAAAAACCCGACCCATGACCATCCCTAATTGGGATGATTTTAACTTATGATGTTTATTAGTATGATTTTTTATAATTTATTGAAATGAATAATCAATCAATAAAATGAAATTTTAATATTTTTTAAATTTTTATAATATATTGTTACATATAAGTTATAAAACAAACTAAAATTAAGCAAAAAAAATAAGAAGGCAATTTTGTTATTTTACATTACTAAAATCAAATTCATCTGACATGTCTGCGAACCAAACATAATATGTAATTGGATTTCAATTTAATTTCCTGCCAACCAAACATGTTTCAGATTCAGATTTCAATTCATTCAGATTCTAATTCCTTCACATATTCTAATTCCCTCGTAAACATTCCAACGAATTAACCGTTACCTTAAGGAATTTGGGGATGGTAAGGGGATGACCAACAATGGAATCTGACAAGAAAGTGATAGCCAACAATGATAGTAAGTTTTAGGAATAGAGATTTTAAAGAGTTCTTTCAAAGAAATTTGATTTTTTTAAAAAAAACTAAAATAAAAAAAAACTATAATTTTAACATTTAAAAAAAATAATGTTTTCAAGATTTTATAAATGTGACAATATCATGTGATTAGTTAATTTTTATAATTATAGTGACAGAATGGATCTTAAAATAATAATTTAAAAAACGTTAAATAATGGCTTTAACCCAAAAAAATACTTAAAATAATTTTAAAATATCTTTTATTGATTTATGTATTGCAGATGAATTGGATTTTCAACAAGTGGGTTTGGTACCACTTCTAGCATGAGAAAATTGTATCTCATATGGGTGATTGCACATTGAAGTATACAGAAACGCTGCTTGGTGGGCCTGTTGACCTTAATTCATCAAGATTTATTCGGGGTTTTCCGTTCCTAGTTTATGCTCGACAATTAGATGTTGGTTTTGTGGTGGTGGAGTGATGTGATCGAAATAGAAAAATGGTGCCAAAATGAGGGAATGATTTGAACCAGAAAGGACGCCCCCCCCCCCCCCCTTTGAAGTTAGCTACAAGGAGCATCTTGAACTTTTTCCCTTCCCCCCACTTAGGAGCATTTCCTTACCTGGAGGGCTAAAAGATCATCAACACGCATGAACTGTAAACTATCACGTTGAGATACCGGCATGAATGCCAACAAGATGATGTGGTTGAGTCGCTTACCAGTCCGGAACTAGCAGAGGCTACTGAAACAGTTCCAGTGCTTCATGGAACAAATGGGTCCTCAACTGCAACTACAAGAGAAGACCAACCAGACTGCCTTCAGTTTTTGCATCTCTTGAGATGGTTTGGTAAGGGGCAGGAAATAAACCGAGGTCGAGCAGAATGGAGAAAGAAACCTACTAGACGAGGCTCAGCCTTCAAATTCATCTGATAAGGGGCACGGAGCACAAAGCTGCAATATGCTATTTCCCTACTACAACCTGTTGCAGAAGCAGATGATAATCCTTCCATGTGTTTTCCACTTTGGATCATAAACATCGTCTTCAAACATTATATATAATCACATTTGTCTATATAACAGTCTTGTATCATGAGATGCTGAAGCAGAATTCTCGGATTTGAATATGAAATGAATCCTTGGAGAATTGTTCGCCCTAATCTACATTCTTCGAACCTCGGGTAAGTGTGTGATGCGGTTAACATACCAAAGGAAAAACAAAGTTCGATATTGACAACATGAGCAAGGAAAAAAAGTTCACCAAATAGAATACAAAGTTTATCATCAAAGAAAAGTAGCACACAAGTGGTGATAATAAACCGGAGTTTGACAGAAATTACTATGCTTTGAAGGAGCCTCTTCAATGTATTTACAATAATATTCCACACAGATAATGAAACCATGAATTCACAGTCTCTTATTTCCTGCACCATGGAAGGCAGCAACTCTGGAGGAAAAAGAGATGCAAGAAATGTATATAATTAGGAATTTATATAAGATTTGTAGCAAAAACAGTCCTTGGACAGATTCCCGAAACAACATACCTTAGCGTTGCTGTTAGTTGGTTTCCGGTTCCGAGCAGTGCGGTATGGAGATTGCTCACCCTGCATGCCTGGTACCCTACCCCCATTGTTCCTCTCTTCTCGCACCTTGTTGAAAATGTGAGTATAACCATCAGCTGATGCCGGGTTATTCTCATCCCAATCACCGAATTTTGGAACAGCAGCACCTTCATCGGGCTGGCATAAATCAGATTGTTAGCAACAAGTTCTAATACAATAATGAGCTTCAAATAAGTGAAATCCACTTATTTTCAAGTTTATGCGATTTATGAAATGACATGAAGAAGAGAATTTACACTGTCATCGCCTCGAGTACTTGGCCTCATTCTGGACCTCGTGGGAGTGCCATGGCTACTATCGTATTTATTCTTTCCTTCCCATGTAGGTGAGGCCATGCTACCTCTCCCCGCAATCCCGGCAACCCGTGCATGGTGATGGAGTGGTGATTTATCTATGCTGTTTTCGGATCCAACCCTTGGTCTTGTAACTTGTTTTGGGGCTTCACGACCATTACGTGAAGGTGTAGTGTCCCCAGAAGCTTTGTGGTTGAGATTGTCGTGACGTACGGGAGAGTCTACATATTGTTTGAGGTCACCTTCTTCCCTGCTTCTTCCACGTTCATGTCCCCTTCCAGCAGGTCCATGTCCTACCTGTTCATCCAATTCAGCTTTCGTTTTTGAAGCCGGATGAGCTCTAGTCGGAGCTACATGATCATGATTCGAGTCGGGGTTCTCTTGGGGATCATTCGGGTTTACAATCTTTCCACCTGTTCGACCCTGCCGGGCCTTGTCAAAATAAGCTGTGTAGGGAACATCCTCTTCACCTTCCCAATTGCCAAACTTGGGTACATGAGATCGTTGCTAAAACCGAAATCCATCAATCAAAATTAAAAAAAGAATATGAAATACTTGTACACATAATTGGATGCTTTAAGTTTTGTTTGCATTATTAAACTAAAAAACAACGGTCTTTTACAAGGCAATTTGATGCATAATTGGGAAAAGAATACAACAAAATCCCAGATCAGAACATTCAAAGCCAAATGATATATGCAAGTTCATCAACCAATTATGAGCCAATAAATAAAATACTAGAATCTCAACTATCCCAAGTTCATATCTCTAAATCAATTACCTAAAAAAAGAGTTAGCAATACAGAATCTCAATAGATCATATAAACTTAATTAAAGAACTAACAAGGAAAAAAAAAGCTACAGTATTGCTTAGCTTTATCACTTCGGTACAATCAAAAAAGCAAAATGAAATTCCAAAATTCTCAGCTTTTAATTTTTTTTCTTCTAAAATTTTCTTCGGATACAAACAGAAAATAACCTATAGTGAAACGAAAAAAAAGATAATTACTTACTGCCATCAGCAAACTTGAGAAAGAATACTCAGAATTCCCAAAAGAACAAAAAAAAGCTTCTTTTTTATCAAACAATTGCAGAACAAACCCAGATAAATAAATATTACAACTTTTTATAAGAACCCTTCAACTAAAATTCGAAGACATCAAGAGAAAGAGAGAGAGATGAATAGAGGTTTTAGTAAGAAAACTAGAGGATTTAGAGATTAAAAAAATAAAGAGAGAAAGGGGGGGGGTTTATCAACCGTTGACCCACGCCATTGGTAATGTTTGACTCTTCATTCTCTCTGTAAAAATCTCTGTTTCTTCCTAGTTTCAGATTCTCTCTCAAAGTCGTCGTTTATTTTCTGGGTGTCTAAGGTAAAACTTTCTCTCCTTCCACGCCAATGCACTAGCGTCCTTCTCCAATTGAGTGCTATCATTGGGGAGTGGAAGAATGATATTGGTGGGGAAAGTAGTAGTCTTAAAATAAAAGGCTTTCCTTGCCAAATACCGTTTTGGTTTTCGTTTAATCACTGAACTATAATTCAAAAAAATCACTCAACTATTATTTTATTTTAAATAATTAATATAAAAATAAATATTTAAATTATATTTAAAGTTAAGTTTAAGAGTTAAAAATCGTTAAAATATATATTTAATATTTTTTCTGTGAAACTTTTATATACTTAACGTTTTCGATATTATATTTTAAGTGTCTAAGATGAAGGGTGTTAAAATTTTACTGTTAAAAAGCTTAAAATTAAAATTTACTTTAGATATTGTTGCGGAATACTATCATTGAATTGAGCAAAATCATAATTGATAATTTAATAAAATAACAACAAAGATAAAGGAGACACAAATTTTACGTAGAATTTTTTATAAATAATATGGGGTAAAAACCACATACAAAGATAGAAGAATTTCACTATAAGAAAACATGAGTTACAACTTCTCTCGATTTAACAAAACGAAAACAAGAACAATTATCTCTCAATAAAACGGAAAAAACAACTTAATACAAACTCTCTAAATTTATCTAATGTATGAGAGAATAATAGAGTGATTTGGATATGTAGAAATGATAAATGGCTAAGCTATTTATAGTTGAATTTTAGAGACCTACTTTGTAAATAGCCTAAAATTTAGAGATTAAATGAATAATTTCCCCTTCTAATATTTTTTTTTTGAAAATAAATAAAATTGATTCCATTACTGCAGTCATTTGAAAACCTTCATTTATTCATACCGATGCATTAATGCACTTAAAGTGCTTTTAAGTTTCAACATATGTGATTTTAAATAACAAAATAATTAACTGACCAAAATAGAACAAAAGTAATAATTAGGTGACTAAATAATTAGTTTAGCCTTGAATTTAACGATGATTACTTCTATTGGCGGCCGACTAGTAAACTTGTCTTAAAAAACTGACAGCTTCTCTGTCCTTCTCCACACTTAATTGAATTATATTAATTTTTTTATATAAAACCCCAAAAAAAGTTTTTTAAAATCATTTTTTTCTGTCTATTGGCTTCTGTTCTTCATACATCTCTTCGATTATTTTTCAGGGTAAATTATAAATTTATTCGTTAAATTTTAATTTTTTTTATATTATTTACTGTACTTTTAATTTTTTTCAATTTAATCATTAAATTTTATATATTAGAATTTTTGTCACTTTGTTGTTTTTCTCTTAACTGTGCGATGAAATGGGTTTTTCAATTAATTTTTTAACTGCCATATAGGCATTGATTAATATTTTATTAATATTATTTTTTTAATATTTTTCCAATTCCTTATTCCAATTCTTTTAAAATAGAGAAATGAAGCTTTAGTTAAGGTAGATGATCGGTGAAATCAAGATGAGAATCTGAATATGCAACAAGGAGAGAAAGAATCGTAATGAATAAATGATTGAAATCGGAGAAGTAACTTTTTATTTCCTTTTTTTTATTTGGTTCAACACCATGAATTTTGATTGAGAATTGTTGATTATTTTTCCTTTGATCTCCTTCGTTCGTCATTCAGATCTAGAAGATAAACCTCTGAACACTATAATTACTTTTAGTCAAATGTGGGTAGACTTATTCTTCATTCTCTTTTCTTTTTCCCTCTTTTTTGTTGTTGTTATTCGTTGTTTGGATTAAAAAAATCAATGAAGAGGTTTAGGAATTGAGATGTTTTGGTGGCTTCAAGGTGATGATGGAGATGATGATGGTTGTGTTGGGTAGAGGGTAAATGGTGATTTTGGAGGTTATTTGGGTAGATGGTAATATGGCATTGCGAATGGGTGTGGTGATTTTAATGAGTGTGTTTAAGATGAAGATGATAAAAGGTTGATGGAGATTAGGGTAGAGGTAAAGTGGGCCCTCGAACGATGGTTGAAGGTTATTGAAAATGATAGAACAGTGAGATTATATTAGGTTCTTAAGTGTCATTTTTCTATAGTTTTTTATTTTTATTTTACTAAACTATTTTTATTTCTTTTTTATTTACTTGAACGACGATGATCTGAACGATGTCCGACGATGGTCAGAATGACGACTTGCATGGTAACCGAAATCTGGGTTCATTCCGATTGAGTAGAGAAATGAAGAGAAAAGAAGATGAAAAGAAGAAGAAAAAAGAGAAAATAAGGGAAGATAGTTTTTTCCTGACTTGTATTTTGTTGATTAAAAATTTGTTTAATAATGTCAGGTCATAACATCGTTACAAATTTAACGGTAGACTGGTAAACAATTCAATATATAAAGTTAAATGATTAAATTGAAAAAAATTAAAAATACAATAAGATAAATAAAAGAGATAGTAAAATTTAGTGAGTAAATTTATAATTTACCTTATTTTTAAGTTGTAAGCGTAATTATGTTCGTAAATATTAATAATATAAATTTAAATAACCATTATTAAAAATTAATCATCAATAAACACCTCATGTATTATCTGTTATAAAAAAAATATTCAATCTTTCTGGGAAGGGCAATTGGGTGATTCAGTCCCAATGCGGTGCGAGTAATAAGCTTTGTCAAGCGTGCAGATAGGGAAGCGTGCAGGAATTTGAAGTTCATCTCCTAAAACTCCAGTTTTTCAACGCTCGAACTGCATACTAGCAAATCCGATACCCAACATGTTGGACAAAACGTAAAAAAATACCAACAACATTATGTATTATCTATACAGATCGATATAAAATTTTATGTTTAAAAAATAATTTTTAAAAGTTTTAGAGAGAAATAAGTTTATAAAATTTTAAAAGATGAAAATAAATTCTTAATATAAAATAAAAATATATATAATATATAATAATTTAAAATTTTCAATGAATTACCCCTCTTGATCATCTTTGTATCTTTCATGTCATTACAAAACTGGAAAAAAAATGAAGTTCCAAACACTGCCTTACCATAATTTTTGCTTGGCCTAAAAATATGTATTCTTTTCATGTCTGCTAAATTAATTTGCTTTTTTGTACCCCCATTTTCCCCTTTAATACCTTTTTTTTCTCCATTTGCTGGTAATACACAAATAATCCCCAAGCTTTTTTCACCCTCAGATTAATTAATTCAGCTTCTGAAAAGGAAACAAAAATAGAGTTTCTTCAAAGAAATGGCTTCAGCTTTCCTCAGTTGAGACCTACTTCACTGAAGTGATACTTTTGTGTGGAAATAATCTAAAACCCAAAATCAACAACATCAAAGATTCCTAGTAGTTTCTTGCTGAACGTTTTCATCCCCCCAAACCTCTCTTTAACAAAGATGGTTAGCCATTGTGTCAAAATAAAGTCTTTTCTGAGTGTTCCGTGATGATTCAGTTATTGTTTTTGGTTCTTTTTGTGAAGGGCGTAATGTCATTCCTTCTGCTGGTAAAGATTGGGCCACTGAGAGAGCTCGTCATAAAGAGCTTAGATCAGTTGAAGATGGGGAAAGGCCCGGGAACCATGAAAACCATTGCCGGCACCATGTCTGTGATTCTTTTATCGAGTCTCATGAGCAATCTCAAGATCCAGAACAAAGGTGCAAAGCTTGGTACCATGTCACCCATGGATCAAGTTCTCTGGAGAACCCACTTGCTTGAAGCTTCACTTATGGGTATGATTTTTGCTCAATTTTTTATTGGTCGTTTGGTTTATGCATCTTTATGCTACTATTTCAGCTGAATTCTAAACCATTGCCTTTGTTTAGCCTGTACAGTGTTGCCTGGTAACAGTGTAGTCATATAGAGGAAATAGGCTTTTATTGGGTGCTTTCGGATTTAATATTAGCTTATTCTCTTTGGTGCTAAAATGCAGTATTAGCTTCACACTGGCAAACACTCCTTTGATGTTCATTATGAAAGGAAAGGTAGCTTGTTCTAAAGGAGTAAAGGGCAGAAGTTGATCAAAGGTAATAAGAGTTGAAGCTTGGTCAGAGACTCTGGTGGTGAGTTGCGAGTTTCCATCGTCTTTTTATCGGGTTAAAATTCAATTACTCACAAAGTCTCAGGTGAGAATTGATGAGTCGATGGAGTTGAAGGTAGTTCCTATTTCCTTCAAAATCAGGGTGCATGAAATTGATCCTCATTCAATCCAAATTCTTGGATCCCTGAAGTTCACGATGATTCATTAGAAATGGTTCCTTCAATTGGACCGTAACTTTTCAGAGCTCTATGCACAGGCATTTTGTTCAGTTTTCATTGTTGACAGTGTTGGTTTTATGTTATGACATGATCTTTTGCGTTGGTTTTTTGTTATGATATGATCTTTTGCGTTGGTTTTTTCATTTTGTTTGAGGTGTATTTTAGAATTAGGATTATTGTCTTTGGGGTTTCATGGTTGACGACGGTAGATTTTTAGGTGATATGGTTTTTGTAATGGTGTATATTCCCGTATGTGGGTATTCGATGTTTTTACATGTAATGAGTGTTATATTTAATAAAATATGAGGTATTTTTTTCTTTATTCCAATATTTTTCAACATATTTCTTAGTATGTGGAAGAATACGAAAGGAGTTTTTAATGAGACCTTCAACCTTTTTAAAAAAAAAAAATCAAAATCGTGCTGCATTTATGATTTCTTTAACAAGTGCGTCTATTTTAAATTTCTCTTGTACCCATATCCGAATGTGTAAATTACGTTACTTCAAGAATAAACGAAGAATCGAACATCATTATGTTCCTTCTCTTTCTGCATTCCAC